TCCCAGTACAGTTAGAAGCTATTGCAACTCAAAAATGATGTGACAGAAGTCTACTCAATGACTGCGAACAATGGTGGGCATCGAAAGCGCAAGACAGGGAAAAAGCAACGGTAACAGTAGAGTTATTTAGACTTATCAAGGAAACTGGGGTGTAAAAGTCAATAGTTAGTGAGAGTATAGCTGACAAGAACGACCCTGAATCCCTCACAAGAGATGCGACTGGTGCAGTGAGTCAACCATTACAAAGAACAGTCTAACTAACCTTCAGCTACTATCCCCACACCTGGATGTAATACCGAGGGCTTCTACCACTCTTAACAGTCGAAAGTGATATAGGCAACAAAACCAGGTGTACCAGTGTCCAATGACGGTGGCTATGGATTAATAGTGCGGTCAACTAAAGTGGTAACCAGTATATGGGACCAGTTAAGACACATTCTGCCTGGACACAAATAAGAAATCTGTCAGTCTTCTACAAAAACTAGAATACCTCTTGCAAAGACAAAAGTGCCAACAATAGTATCCAAAGGCCAAAGCTTCACAGGAATTCTATGGCAAAGTACAGTGTGGAACAGAAAACCTAATAAAACGATCTAGCAATACGACCTACAGATAGGTTTCTCAAAGGAAGTCCTACAACAAAAGAGCCTTTACATCATCCTCCACACTCTAAATACTGTGTACTCAAAAACTGTGTTCTATAGTCTATGCTGAGCTAACAGGAGAGTTGTGCGTGTCTTGCTGTATCTATCAACCATTCCCACTATCTACATTCTTCCCTATCATGTCTTTAACATGCGTTTGGAAGTCTCTCTCTCACGATGCGCTTCTGACTTCATCACTGGGATTAACACTCTTACAGAAGACTACTTCAAAGACCTAGAAAAGAACAGATTAAACTGTAGTGGACAAGTCTACACTCGGCTCGATTACAGAAGACGAGAATAGACCAAACTTAAAAATACCAGACTAAACAAGACCACACTCGACAAGACGGCATTAACTTGGAAGAGCAGTAAGTGATGTTAACATCGTGCAGAGATGTGCCAACAAATTCTGCGATAAGTACAAATGCAATATTTAACAAGCGTTCGAAAACGGCTACAGGCAAATGGGTACCCAACCGACGACGGACATGGGTGAAATATTTGGCAACAGACAGTAAAAAGTACACAGTTTGGACCACCTGATGATTCAGCTGATGCCACCTGGTCTGGGAAGTCGGGTGACCTGTGGTTGGTGTAGGTCAGCGACAGATCAAATCTCTGCACGCATAGGACAGGTGTACTTGCCTTTCGCCGACCTGTGCCATTGTTCGCGATACCGACTCATTCGATTGCCCATTAAGGGTGGGGTTTTTTCGCGCTGCACTTTGCTGCCCTTTTCTATTACACGCCTGTCAGGTATGGCTATTTCAAGTGAAAAACACGACTTATAAGGCTTCATGTGTTCTACCAGACCTACTTTTGTGGGGTGAGTTGTGTGTCATGTAGCTGGCACATGTGTTTCGTATGCCTAATCACCGACTGCCTTGTCGCCCAATGCCTTTAGTTACGGTGGAAATAAGTTAGCCTGGATGATATTAAATGAAATGCTAACCTTACCTGGGCAGTGATGTCAGATGTGGTGGCTTTCAGTCCATGGTCGACTAAATTTTCTGCATGCATAGGACGTGGATATAGCCGTAGATACTCCTTATTTTAGAGGGATCCATATACCCCATGCGGGTCATCTGATTGATTTGGTGTACGCAGACGTTACCCATTTGTTGAAACGCAGGCAAATTAAAGGATTTTCTGAACCTGATGAGCAGAAATCTGAGTACGTTTCGCTGGAACGCATTTTGAACCTGTGAAATGTAAAATGACGCTTCAGGATTGGTGTGCAGCAGCTACTCGAATTTTAAGTACTGGGAGTGAAATGGTTGCAAGTGTAGGCTTCTTGCGTGAGTTGTGTCAGCCCGAACGGACTGACAAAATCTGTCTGGATGTAGAAGATCCACTAGGTATATGCGAACTCGCATCATGAATGCAATGGGAAACTCTATCCTGAGGCGATACATTTAAATAAATTTGTTTGTGAAACATTAATGATGATACTTATATCTCACCAATCACCACCATCATTTTGACATTGAATTTATTGCTTAGCAGGTAAGTGTTTATATCAACACGAGTTTTTCGTTCCACCTAGAACGTGTCACTTGAGCACGATGGCATCTTGATGAACTGATTTTTATACTGAGATCAGAACAGAACACCTATTGCTTCCGTGTTATAACTGACTATTGTAGACAGGCGAATTCCAATCCGTCGGTTTAACCCTTAGTCTAGTCGCTTTGACATGAACAACCGCATAATGTTAAATTCCGCGAATATCAAATGATTCGTAGCTTACCATAAAAAGACATTGCGTTAAGTATCAAAACTTGACTTATAACGTAACATCTACCGTCGACTATCACTTGATAGCGATGCGAAGCAGTGTGCGTACGTTTCAAAATGTGTTTATTAAATACCCCACAACCGTTGTTAGGCAAGCGAAACATGTTTCGTAGATTCCTAAGACCCACTGTCGATTTCTTATTTGAGCTCTCAACGTCCGAACCGTATGCCAAATCGGACAACAAGCATCGCTCACCAGAACTCTGAAATCTCAAGCCATAGATGTATGCTGTGTACTTGGGACACGTGGGTATGACCGAAAAGTGATCATCCACTTGACTGACCTCAGCTGGCCAAGGCGGTGAACCCACAAAATCCACTTTGAGTGTCCGAAGGGAGATTCAATGGGTGGTTGCCGTGGTCTCGCTGGTGTAGGCATAACATTAGGTTGTGGAGCACAAAGTGCACATCTCGATTGGATACCAGTGAACAGTCATCTACGTGTTGTCCAACTGAATAAATCTACAAAACCTAAGTGTTGTAAGGCTTGTCGATGCGATGCCTATTCACAACCTCCGAGTACACACCCACTGACTACACTTTGTATGATACAAGGGATGAATTCAATCAAAAGCTGTCAATTTGTTTACATAAAGCAAAACGTCCAAAAATAATCATGATAGTAAGTGACTTTAACGCTCAAGTAGGGAAGCCGAGATAAACGAAAAGGCATCGTACTGAAGTTAGTCCTGAAGACGTCAACAAGTCTGGTGATGAAACGTCAATGATAAAATATCAAAGCTCAGAAAAAACCAAACCACCATCACCCTGAGCTACAAATCTTTTCCATCATAGGTGAGCACTTATCTGAATGTGACAGCGATTCTAACCCTAAAGGAATATGATGTGGCATTCGGCCCGCTGTAGAAATGTAGATTGACTTCCCAATGATTACGAGGAGTGAAGAATGGCAAAACCAATGAAGGCGGTAGCATTAAGTAAGGTTCAACAACTTTTAGGCGTGTTAAAGATACTGGTTGGAAGTTGACTCTCAGTGGTACCATCGCCAAGAAGGATGGGGACCTGGTGACTTCTCAGGATAGGCAGCTAGATACAGAAGATTCATTTGGCATTTGTCAATTTGCACAATTTCTGGCGAGATATCCGAATACCTGTTAAAAGACGAGTATGCTGCGCTGCATCCCATTCTATCCTATCTCACAGCTGCGAGATATAACCGTTGAAAGTGAATGTGAAAAGACCACAGATTTTCAAACACACGTCTTTGTAGCATTCCTCACGACTTTAGAACTATGGTGTAGCAAGGTTGAAGTTCGGCAAAAGATACTAGGCAAGGTAAACATATCATTCGATGAGGTTGTGAACGTACGTGAATCGAGATGGCTTAGATATGTGCTGAGCAAGCCAAGCCACCGCCTACCTCGACATGTTATTGGAGGTTAGATTGAATCAGAAGGCTTAGGGTGATCAAACCAAGAAGTGACACGAGTCCATGAAGCCTTTGACTCTTGCTCTGAGCCGTGTGGAGAGATGCAGACTGCCTGGTTGTCCCCAAGACGATAGGAATCAATGGTGAAATGACTGAAAATCTGTCACATTCGTGCAGATATATCCACTTTTTAACGTCTTCTAAAGCTTCAACGTTTTCGCTAACCTTGAATTTCTTTTTCTCCCCTACACCTTTTGTATGCTGCTGTGAAGTGCGGCAACCTGTACCGACACTACTTTATGCTAGGTTCTATGTTTATTTCGTCTTACATTTCACCACAGAATAAAACTAAACATTCTATGCTGCTGCCACATTTATTCATTATACGCTCACAATCCTGGCATTGAACCAGGTGAATATAACATGAAGATGAAAAGTATATGGGTACCTTACCAGTTATGAAGTGGATGATGGTTGGTATTTTTCCATAAACATACAGATGTATAGGGTCCTGGTAGTGTATGCCCAAGGCTTAAGCCTACTCAAGCGAAGAAAACTTCAGCATTCAAACATGTTCAATTATCATATAGAGAACCAATTCAGCCTTGCATCAATTTTGATCTGCTATCAACAGTATAGAAAATGAAAAAAATTATGAGGCAGTTTCGAAATCGTTGGAAAAGGTGCCTTCAACAACTCAAATTACTGGGTAATTTGAAAATGACATTTAAAAAATCTTGACAGAGTGATTTTGCTGCCGTGAAAGAATATCAGCATGTCATATGATTTGAAAATTCACTTATCGATACTAATCCATGTTTGCCTTAGTAATCTAACTCAAACACCCTAAACAAATTCATACTCCATAGGCTGTAGCCCATAACCTAATGCGCAAGCTGTCACAGGTGGAATAATGTCTGAAACAATGACTTAACAACTGAAAGTTCAATTCAGTAACCACTAACAAGCGCCATAGTTCAGACACTAACTTGAACAATCCTAGTGGAAGGTAGATCTAAAGACTCCAACCAAAGAGCAAGAAGTAGAACTTGCTGATAAGTAATAGGTTATCATCAACAATCCCAGTTATACAATAGGATGATATTTCATTTTATCTACCCATATCCTACTGATTCACCCGCCAAAAAGATAATAATCACAAAAACAAGTCAATAAAATGTTACTAGATAGACTGAAAAAATCATCTGAATAATGGAACTAGTTTTATCAAGTGTCATCAAATAATTAAATACTTGACTAACAAATAAAATATGAATGGATACAGTGTGAGAGAGAGAAAAGGGAAGGGAAATGATAAAAGTAATGAAGTGTTACAGATCTTTGGGAAAATTGTGTTTAAACAATAATATAAGCTGTAAAAGTATAACAAAGACAAAATTATCACTTGTCAACAGGGGCATTCAAAGAAAGATGTGGTCTGTATTAACAGCTTAGAACAGTTCAGTTTGATATAGCTGCATACAAACACATACAGATACTCAAAGAATACAAAAATCAAACACCGATACATAATTCACAGAAAAAAGTTGAACTGGATATTAGCAAGCTTTAATCAGTCAGTTAGTCAGTTTGATCTTAAATGTAGCCAATTCTGAAAGAGAAAATTGAAACGAAACGAGAATAGTTAGACACAATATGTGGAAAACTTGAGATGAGTCAATAAACATAACTAGACTGTCACCCTCTGGATACAGCTAACTTTATGACCACGTGAAGATTCATGGACTACACGATAAGCAAGCAGGACTCAGTAAATATATTGTTAAACTCAGTTATAAATGGCAATCTTTAATGGTTACCTTTTCTGAGGTAAACAATGACAACGAGTGTGTAGGCAGCGAGTTTCACTGTTCACCTTACCACTGTCAATTATGATAGTCAGATTAACAGGCCCCTGTTAACTGGAATCTAGTTCAACAACCTGCAAGACATTAGGAACTCGCCATCGAATATTCAGAACCTCGAAGAATGAATTTTGCATTTTCATTAGACTGATCGATTGACGGTAAGTCGGTAGTTGCACTTGAGTCCTGTACACATATTTCGCAAACACAACATACATCCATGACCCAAGAAGCCCACATTTTGCATAACGAAGCTTGCTGATCGATTTGACGGAGGGTGAGGACACTAAGAGCCCAATGTGGTCTGCAACGCGGTTCCATGAGACCAAGATTCTGCCTCGTGAACTCCAGTCTCTATTAAAAAATGCAGACCTGGAAGAAATTAAGAATCAAGAATTTTGGCCAACAGACATGGAGAAGATTAGAAAGTAACGACGTTGAAGGTTGATAATAATCTGAATGAACTTTAGTGCTGACAGAGTTGTTAGGGCAGTTGACACATGTCAGCTGTCTGCATCATGGAAAGCCAGTTCTTCCTGATTTACCTGAAAAAAAGGGGTTACTGCGTGACCACAGAGTCAAAGTGAGACCGATTAAATAAGGCCATTTCAGAACTTTAGAATTTCGGTTTGTTTTCTTCAAATCCACCTAAGAACACACACGATCGACACAAGACAGGAAGAGTGTACTATTTTCAAGGCCAAAAGTGCCTAACCTTCCGTTCTCACCAGAAAGGTAGTATCAGCATGGTACTGCTGGTCATCCAGGGAAAACAACTTACTTCTGTCACACCCTATCCAGCTAGCAGTACGAATCCACCATCAGACTGCCTTCATAGTGTAGCAGTGTATATCATAACGGAAATCACCTTTGATTTCACCACTATCCAAATGACATTTCCGGTATCGTAGGACCTCGAGAGAACAAGGGACCCAGTCAGTGTAGTTCGTGGGGTCATTGTGATATGTAAGCCCCGCTACTACTCCCAAGTTGCAGCTATCGATCAAGCAACGGAAAATATGCTGATAATAGTATTTTTGTTAACAAAAAATGAATACATATGATATTTTTGCAACGTAAAGGTTAGGGAAACTAACCTAGTATGAACGCAGTTTCGGTGGGACAGTTGGACAGCTGTCAGAATCTAAAGTGGCATCAATTACCGGACGGTACTCCAATTTCACAGCACCACTTTTCGCATCCTGATAAGCTAATGTATGTTTCCGCCAATGTTCTTCAAATGGTTTGGGCTTTTGTCCTTCAATAGGTTTGGAATAGTCAAATTCATCTACTCGACTGGAAAAATCTTCACGTGCATGAGCACCACGAGATTCTTTACGAGCTTCAGCACTTACAATGGTCTAAATCCAATAGCAAAAACAACAAGCAGAACCTAGTATAAATTTATCACAACTCAGAGATAGCAACACAAACTAGTCTTAAAACTACATTCAATAACAATAACAATAATGTTAAAGGCTCTATGTGTACATATTGAACCAATAAATAAAACTTAGGGAAGCTGGTAGAAATCATCTCGAAGATATATTCGCGAATGGGCTACCAGAATAACAAAGTCAAATCACATCTACACAATTCTTGTGACAGGCTTTGGATAACAGTGTTACTTAACTGTACAAATCTGCGTTTACAACACACCATGTACCTAAAAGTACCGAAATAAAAACAGCTATATAAGCGCTGTTAAACTGTTAGCTTACCACTGAATCCTAGTTGAATAAAGTTATAAGTCAAGATTGCCAACGACAAGAGCATAATCGATCACAGGGAATGTGAAGCAGTCACAACCTACAACGTTAGCAAATAACTGTTCAGCTATCTAACTGATATGTTTGTCCACAGTCAGCCACTACATTGGATCACTAACTGTCTGGGAAATTATATAATGTTTGAGATTCATTTTAAATTGTGAGATCTCTTGGGACTTCAACTGTGCAACTTCAACTCTGAAAACATAGTTTGCTTGAAACCTCAAACCTTTGGAATGGTTAGCAAGAAGTGGTTGTCAAATATGTCCAATCCATATGAATAAATGCTTGTTGTTTACTTTCTTCAAAAATTATATGATCAAACTTTAATTCCTCTTTCTAGCACTCTTTTACGCCTCGGTGTGCACTGTTTGCTTTTGTCGCTGTAAATGACCCTTGTTTCTTACTGGTTATATTTGTTTGCTTATTACTTTCATTTATTCTTTATTCCATATTCTCTACAGATGAATTAAATTCCTTCAATTCAAAGCTACTCTTTTCCCTGTGCTGTAGGTGAGTGAGTTGTGGAGCAGATTTTTTAGGTGGAACAATTGGATCATGCATCCGGAGAATCTGGAAGTACGTTAGTTTTTAAAAGTGTTCCTTGTTCGTCGACCGGAAATATAACAGCCTGATTCCTAATACCATCAGTGAATAGTTTTCGTTGCACAATCAACCCAACAACTGTCGTCTTACAAATGCTACAAATGCTGTTAGCCACTTGGAATGGTTAGTCTGTCTGTAAGTGTCAGGCTGCATTCAGAGGTTCAAGTGACACTTTAGAGTAACAAAAATCGAACGAGTGTTTTTCGGGGCTTGTGTGTTGGGCACTACAAATACGTTAGCCTAGAACCTGCATCCTTGATCGTTCTTCCCTTTATTTCGTCAGTTCACCCACTTCGAGTGAGTTTATAACCATTTTCGATTACTTATTTGTTTTCAAATGAATACAGAAAGGCACAGATGATATGTCATCAAAATTAATCCCGTCAAGAACAAAGCAGGTTTATCTTATGCGAAACTGTCCGTATTGTACTGTAGTCACTTTTGCCTGCGAGATTCATATCAAAAATCAAATTTACAAAGAAAATTAGGCTCATCTTGGGAAGCCTTTCTGGTCGTCTTAACGACAGGAGTACACGTCGAAGAACGATGATTCTTCCACGTCTATTAAAAAAATAACAGTAACAATGGAGGGTGTGTCTAGTTGTCATTGAGTAATGCTTTTGCTTTTTTCATGGAATACAATCGACACCTGTCCGAGCTTCGTAACAACGGTATTCAAACTTTGAGTCGTGACTGCTGCTAGGTGAAACTTTGTTTAGACTACATGTTTTTTTTCATCTTCTTATACTGTATCGGTTATTCATTTCATCTCTATATCTTTTAAAAACTGAACATCCGTACTTCTTGTTTGGATACATTTATAAAAAGTTATTCACCATACTATCAGAAGATACACAATGGTCTTGTGAGTATAGGTAGAAGTGCATTTTCTAGATGTCTGAAATCTGGATGTAAATGCTTCAGCATGTCTGTCCCATACTTGAAATTTGGTGGTCACCGATACTCTCCAAGGACGTTGTATGTTGATTATCAGAAGATCACTTGTTTATGTTCAACAGTCAAATACCTATGCCCCCATCTGACTGGTACTACACAGCACACTTAGTCACTTTTTCCTAGTAGATAAAATAAGCTGTTCACAATCAACAGTTATCCTGCTCTTATACAACGAGAAAAATCTTTACCTTGACATCCGGAATATAAAACTCAAAGTCATTAGTCTCCCATAAAATTACCGTCACTGAGTCCATCACATCTGCCTTCAGCACTTGAAGTCAAAGCCAGTGTTTGCGAGATTCTTACTCTGTGGTGAGAATGACATAACCTGCTATAACTCACTTTCGATATTCCATCATAACTTCTTTTGAAGACTAAAATGTTCAGATAACGAATTGTGATCTGTTCAATACAGAGAACAACATGAAGGAAGTGAGCACAAGACCACCACCTCACTCTGGGGTCTGGGTCAAGTATGCGGATGTAGACTCCTCGGCTGCGGTCTCTGTGACGACTGCAATCAGTGATTAAACAAATTAGGCAGTATGGCTCAGAATTGATGTCAACGGCGTAGACGCATCCATACATTGTCTTCATCTTCAACCGCCATACGAACGAAACAAAAATGAAAACGCTGTCAGCAACGTTGTGCGTCATGCAGTATGTAGTGAATCAAACCAACCGCGTGAGGGCGAATGTTGCTACCCGATTGCCCAAACCTCAGTAGGTGGAGCGGTGTTCCAGTAGGTCACCCTTCAGTGAAAACCCAACTATCTAAATCACAGTTCGGTCTACAACCTCAGTGTATCAATAAGTCCCTACTCGGAGCGTTTGGTAGCACCACCAGGTTCTGTTTTGATACTGGATAACCTCAGTAATTCTGAGTAAGGAAACATTACTGACTGATCATAAGAGTTTTTGACTGTTTTTGTAAGTCAGTGGAACATAGCTTATAGCTTTCAATGTCTGCTCTTAGTTGACTTTTACCTGTGGATGTGTTGCAATATATTCTATTTTAAATCTCAACACGTTGAAAAATACTACCAAAGCAAGTGTTCACACATTGAAATATGGTTGGTGGTGCACAGCAAACTCCTCGCGGATGCTGTTCATCACAACTGACGAAATGACTCCTCACTATCCAACATCAAAAACCAATTACACATGTACTAAATTAACTTGAAAAAAAAAACAAATGAACTACGGATGGGAATATAACATTACTTTATGAACATAGACTCACTTGTAAGGCATTGAGCATTAAATTTTGCAATTCCAAAGCCTCCATCAAATCACTGTTCCAGATTTTACTTCGATCACTAACTTTTAAATCATTCATCCGAGAGGTGTAAAGTTCATACATTTTCTTACAACCTGTTTGAAGAGTTGAACCATCACGGAATACAGCCGCATACTCTTGCATCGTACGTTGCATCTCTAGTCGAACCTACACAGTTTTGAACATTCGAGATAACATTAGTTTACTCTAAGTTATATTTACATTATATATGTAATAGGATAGTAAAAAGTGTGTTTACCTGCATCACATCTTTTACATTGTGATCAACACTTTAATGGCCAGCACTGGGATAGTGGACAAACAAACAAGTTAACGCAGAACATGGCATAGAAGTACAAAAGTTCAAGTTATCATACATCATAGCACTATGCAGAGAAGAAATGGGTAAGAAAGTGATATTAAGGTACTACAGTAGACAGAATGAATAAATGAAGATTATTGAAAATGTCAAAAAAGTGTATACATATCTGTGCAAATGTGATTGATTTTGATCCATTTCAACAAATCTCTAAACACTGATTGCTATCGTTAGTAGGATCCAGATAGGCAGTGTACACCTGCCCACACAGTTCCAACCAACAATAGCTTCAGTGACTGGTGCCATATCTTTCTCTGGTTATCCTTAATCATCTAACCCGATTCTACACCAACTAACATCTCACACAGAAGTAGCTGGTACTTCGACATGCACAACATGTATCCAAACACACAAAATCAATATAGAATCTGGCATCACCACGTAACGCTTTACGCTGTCAGCCCTCCATATCAGCACACTAAGCGAGAATGCACCAAGATGAAAGATGAAGAAAATAAAAAACAAACCAGTCTCAAGACCGGTAGAAATGCAATGCTCTTTTGAGCATATTCCCAAATAACTCACTTTTTGATTTATTTTTCGGTATCAGTACCTACATGTTCAGTGAACTACTGATTAAGTGGGTAATAGAGCACAGGGGTTAGTAAGGCTGGATTAGTGTTATGTAGTAACAACACATCCAGTCTCTTACGGATATCAAGAACAAGATGTTCAGCGAAGAGACTCTTTCAAACAAATTTATATATATATATATATATATATATATATATATGTTCTTGCTTCTGAACAAAAGTTTTGAAGAAAGTATGTTGTTTAAAAACCTCGCCTGGTTAACTAGTTCACTAGTTACTACCCGGTCCTAAGCCCAGATAAAGAAGGAGGGTTGGGCATACGGATAGCAACCCTACCCCGCAAAACCAATACAATCGCTAAACAAACTTAAAAGCACAAAGAAATTATGAAACATAAAAAATTTATTCCTTGCTGAAATCAGGGAGACGAAATGATGCCCGTTGGTGAAGGCCTTAGGGAAGCCAATTGCCCAATGTGTCTTCTCTCTTTCTCTCTCTCTCTCGATGAAAGCAAAAGTAAACATGGGGACATGGAATACCCGCACAATGTTTGAAGCTGACTGGAAAGGCTGCCCAGATCGCAAAAGAGATTAGAAGGTATAGAAAAGAAATGCTAGAATTTGCGAAACCAGGTGGAATGGAAATGGACTCTCCAAACTCTTAACTCCACAGTCAATAATCTACTCCGATAATCTAACCCAGACGACTACCACGAGCACACTGAGTTCTCAAGTGGCTATCATAATGTCATCAACAGCATCCAAGGCTCTCTCTCTCATACAGTGGGAAACAATCTCCTCCTGCAGGATCAGCATCATGACAGACAGCAAGATTCAACTCAAAAGGAAGCATAGTCACAATCATTCAATGCCACGCTACTCACCTACAAATAATGCAGATGGACAGAAGAAAGAGGAATTCTACACACAACTCCAATCAGTACTACACAAGACTCCACCACAGATGGCGACATCAAAATTCATTCTAATATGTGGGGTGACATGAATGTCAAACTGGGAGCGGACAACACAAGAAGAAAACTCATCATGGGTCGAGAAGCACTCGGTGAAATGATCAATGAGAATCGAGAACTGTTTGCAGACTTCTGCGCACTCAACCATTTCGTGATTCGAAGCGAGGCAGTGTGTACAAACACAAGGACATTCACAAAGCGACATGCACTTCATCAGACACCAGGACACACTAAAAACTAGATCGACTTCATCTCAATGTGAAGAAAGTGGAGACGCAGCCTACTGGATCAACAAGGGGAGCAGATGTAGGTTCACACCACTCACTTCACTATCTACTGCAAGGAACCTACCTACCTTCCAAATCAAGTTGAAAGACTTCAAAGAAGTTGGTGATGATCGACAACAGTTCAAGTTGAACACCCAGAACACAAACTGAACTCAAGCACAAAACTACAAAGGACATCTTCACGTCAGTCAGTCAGTCGTCAGGAGAAAATGCGAGACACTAAGCAACGTCCTTGAGGAAACCTGCGTGCAAGAACACTGGAACTCTTTGAAAGAGATGTGGAAAGAAACCTGCATAAACGTATTAGGAAGGAAGAAAAAGAGGCAAGACAAGAAATGGATCTCGACGAACACATGGAAGTTGATAGAGCAGCGAGAGGAAGATGGTGAAGCAGAAGATGAACCAACCCATAATACACTACACTGGACAAAGAAGTGAAGAAGAGTGCACGCAAGATAAAAGACACTTCTACGACACATTGACAAGTAGAGCGGAACAGGCTGCTGGTAGGAGAGACAGATACCTGACAACACTATATCAAATAACCAGGTTACTTGCTGTCTGGGAAGAGATCAACACACATTAAACCAATGAGAGATAGTGAAGGAAAGCTAGTTACCAAAGAGGAGAAACAAAGGAAACGATGGGCTGACCACTTCAAAAACCTCTTGAATCGACCAACACCTGCAACTCATCCAGAAATACCACCAGCAATGGCAGAATTACCAGTAAACACAAGCCCTCCGATGAAAGCGGAAGTCCGGAATGCCATAAAACTGCTGAAATTCGGGAGAGCAGCACGACCAGATGGAATTCCTCCAGAAGCACTGAAAACAGATGCGGAGACAACAGTGGACACACTCGCGCCATTATTGCAGAAGGTTTGCAAGGAAGGAAAGGTACCGGCCAACTGATTGGAAGAAGGCCTACCCTGTCAAACTTCCAAAGAAGGGAGACCTAAGCCTTTGCAAGAACTGACGCGGAATCATGCTGCTGTTCACCCCAATCAAAATATTATGCCGCATCATCCTGGAGAGACTAAAGGATGTTCTCTGCAACAGGTTGACTGGCAGGCTTCGGGAAGAACAAATCATGTGCGGATCAAATTGCCACGCTACACTAAGCTACCCATCATCATAGAACAGAGTATAGAATGGCAGTCAACTCTCTACCTCAACTTCATCGACTTTGAAAAGACCTTCGACAGCGTCGAACGAGAAGTAATTTAGCTGTTGCTCCAGCACTATGAAGTGCCACAAATATTTATCAACCTCATTCAACAACTATGTGAAGACGCCATATGCCAAGTGACCCACAATGGAAAGCTCAGTGACGCCTTTGAAGTGAAGAAAGGAGTAAGACAAGGCTGCCTACTATCACCCATGATCTTCCCGACTGTGGTCGACTGGATCATGCAGCAAACCGTGAAGAGCAAGAAGATGGGCATACACTGGCTGGACTGATGAAAGAGCCTAGAAGATTTGGATTTCACCGATGATGATTTATGTCTAATGTCTTGTCGCACAAACTTGAAGATCTACAAGCGAAAACTAACGAGTTGACAGAAGAAGCAACGAAGACGAGATTTCAAGCGAACGTAGAGAAGACGGAGGTGGTGATGATAACCAACCAACGCCACCATCAACAACAACAAGCTCCAATCACCATCAATGGGAGAAACTTAAAGGAAGTAGTCTCTTGCACTTACCTGCGCAGCATCGTTCCAACTACAGGCGGCACAGACGAGGACGTCAAAACTAAGATCGGAAAACCAAGACAGGCTTTCACTAATCTGAAATCAGTGTGGAGATTTATTCCACTCAACTCAGCATAAAGCGTGAACAACATCCGGATTCTCAACACTAATTCAGTCAAGTCAATGCTTCTACGTGATGGTTCAGAAACTTGGCGCATCACCAAAAGCATTTCCAACAAACTACAGACATTCATCAACAGATGCCGTCTACGCTCACTCAATACTGAGGATCAGATGGCCAGAATAATAAGAATAAGCTTCAAGGAACTCTGGCTGGGTAATGAACAAACCAAGAACCTATTACCCAACAAATATGCAGAAAAAAGTGGAGATGGATTGGACATACACTAAGAAGGCCGACTGGGGACATCACGCTCCAGGCCAGTCGCTCGAGTGGAACCCAGATGGGAAGCGACGAGTTGGGCGTCTGAGGGTGACATGGAGGAGATGGTGTGAGGAAGAAATGAAGGCTTGTGGGCAGTCGTGTAGCGAGGCTCAAAAGACTGCAGAGAAGAGAGTGAAATGGAGGCGTGCTACTGAAGCCCTATGTTCTGCTAGAAACCCAAGGGAAAAACTATACATATAACCGGGAAGTCTACATTTCCTCAAAGAAATCACACACTGAGTCGAAGATTTCGAGGATGAATGCCATGATTTAGTCTGCTTTCCTATCCTTTTTCCAGGCTAAACCTACTTTAGCAACACGGGTCTTAGCGATCTCAATAGTTGAAGACTGACAACCTCGTCGTTTGGTATCCCTTCCCTGCCTAGCCCCAACATTACTCACACAGTGATTCCACTACACGCGTGCATTATTACAAAGAAACCTGTGGTCACTTCACACCTATTTCCAACAGCCTTGTCTTGCAGTAGTACCAGAGGATAGAGAGGACTGTAGAACAATATACTTGCTGTGCTTTAGTAGATACTAAGATATCTAGGCAGCGCCAGAGATAGCGTGAGCAGCAAATTGACTAAAAATTAATGAATATCTCGATTACTTTCGGTTAGAAACAGGTCGGTGTAAAAGACTATCGATGTCTTCGTACGAATTCTTAGTCTTCTTAGTATGGATGGTCTTCGAAGCATAAAGATCTGAGCCATTAAAGACATGTTTCTACCTATGTTGGTCCAAGCAACCGAGAATTATTTTCTTTTAATCACGCATGAATGGAGGATACTTTTTAAACTTAGCAAATTAGTTCCTTAAAACATAAGTGAAAAGACAAAATTCAATGGA